CTAGCTTTCTGACAATCTTATTCATCAGGCCATCTGCAGAGGGCGGAAGGATTTTTCTGCAGAGATCTGCTTGTCCGTTAGCAAAACTGTACAAAGAGGAAAAAACTTTATATGAGATTATTGTACCAAAAAGGGCAGCTTCACAAAAACAGAAATTGGTGTCATTGGGATCCAGACACTTTACATAAATACAATACATTTTGGGATCCCAATTAGGAAAGATTCCTGGAGAGCTTACTGCATAGAGAGACTATTTCCAAAGCTGTTCATAGATAAGACATAGATACTGGGAGCGAGCAGACTTCAACAAGAGAGCTGGAACAGTAAAACACGGGGCTTCCCTGTAACCCAGTGGATCCTCAAATTTCACACTGTTGTCCTACCTTAGAAGTGAAACCACTTTATGACAATATCATTTTGATATTTCTCTAACTAGTCCCTCGGAGCCAGGTCACGTAATATCATTTGTGCTCCATATCAGTGCCATACTCAGGTTCCAAAGGAAAAGTATTGTTAAGTGCCATTGCCACCTCAAGGGTGGGAGTGGGAGGCAATGCAAAATACAAGGCTCTGGATAAAAGATGGGAGGGCACCCCTGGCCTAAGGTCAAAGGCCATAGCCCTCAAGTATGCGCCAAGCTCAGAGCCAGGACTCTACTTTCTCTGTTTGGCACAAGGTCCGTTTTGATGGTTCCAGCCAGAGAGTCTCCAAAGAAATGATCATTTATATACAAATACACATACATTCACACTCACTCATTCAGAACCATTACAAAAACAAACAAAAAAAAACCCCTGCATTCTTCAACAAGCCCACTACTTGTAGGCGATGACCATATGTGTAATTTATTATTAAAATGAAGATACTGTTGAACATGAAAGGAACTGGCAATAATTATGCAAGAAACTGGTATAAACAGGCACAGTCTTGGGTAAATCAGGACAAAGGATTACCCTATGTATGGCCCACCCAACACGTTTTGAACGGCTCACATGCCAATGTAGATGCCTACTTTTGAAAATCACTGGCTTATTCAATAGATGCATCTTTTATTTTCCTTCAACCAATCAGTGAACAAATCTTTGCTGAGCCCTCACTATGAACAGGGCACTCCTCCAGACCCAGAGGCCACAGTGGTGACTTTGGTCCCTGCTCAGGGAAGTCACCAGCCAGTGAATCTTTGGCACAAATGATGTTATTTTTAAAGCTAATGAAGCGTTTGATGGTTTGATTTAATAACAATGAATATATACTGTGTTCCATAGTTGACATAGTTTGAACATAATCTCATTCGACTAATAGCTTTCAGTTCACTTTAAAGTCAAAGAGGAAACACCGTTCTTCAAGATCACCTGCAATGCCAGCTGCTCTGGTTCCCTGCCATCTCCGCAGGTCACAGGGGCGGGCATTTTCCCACCCCTGCCCGATCCGTGCTGCTCATCTGTAGCCACTGGGGCTACTTCTCTCAGCAGCTGAGTGCTAACTGCAGCCCTGCTTGGATTCCATGATTTCTCCAGTTCCTCCCCACAGCGCCCTCAGTTGAGAAGGATTGAGGGGCACTATTAGAACTCTGGGAGAAGGTGCTGGAATGAATTGTCAGGTCATTCATCAGCAGGGGATGGGGGAGTACTGTCACCTGAAGCTGTATCCCCTGCAGAGGGGAAGCAGACACTGAGGTTTTCCCCACATGGTGTATCGCAGACACACATGTCACACATTAAAATCGCCTTTTCCACATACTATTTCCAGCTGACAGTATGTTACAGGCGCCACACAGTTCTCCATCATGAATGTGCTAAGCTCTGTGACCTGGGGGTTGGGAGGTGAGTATGAATCAAAACTTGTAATGTACAATTTGGAAAGAGACCCCGATACATTCTCATTTGTCTCTGTGAGTCCAGTGAGGAAGGAGGGTAGATGTCATTGCCCACAGAGCTCAGGGCAGTAGAAGTTGGAGGGCTTAGGACTTGTCCAAGGTTGTGCAGGTCACAGGCACAAAGCTGAGTCAGAGCTCAAGATCTTCGTTCCAGTTTCAAGCTGGGATCTGGAACCCAGAATCAGAAGGACTTGGAGCCCCCACCTCCCTGAGGTGTGCTGTGTGTGTGTGGTAGGGGGGAATGCTTTGTTTTATTTTTGTTTCTTTTTCCCCTTTTGATCCTAACTGATCATTCTTAGTCAGAGCTATCAAATGCTTCATTGGCCTTAAGAATGCAGGTAAGGAAGACAACACCGTTATTTGCACTGAAATGTGAAAGACGCGGTTAGAACCTCCTGGAGCTGAGCCATCAGCAAGGCTCCAGTTTTCATCCTCATCCCCCTCCTCCACAATCGGCTTGAAGAACAGGAAAGCAATGAAAAGCTAAGGGCAAGAGGAAAGAGGGCTGGAAATAATTCGGAACCATGTGAACTCACAATAGAAGACTAATCAAGAGCACCCACTCCATTTCTGACCAGGCTCACCTGGCATCACCTAGCATTTGCCAAGCATCTAAGTGCCTCCCAGTCTCAAGTCTTTCCACACCCCCCACTCCGTATCTGCCTGGCAGTGAATCAAGCGCCCAGCAGCCTGGGGTTCCCAGGGCTCCACAGGACACGGGGGAAGGAAAAGCACTGCTGCGCTGGAGAATAAAAGAACTGGAGGCAGAGGGCACCATCTCAGATGAGATCTGGACTCGGGCACCTGGTTTAGGATTGGAAACTGGCC